CTTCATTCCAAGCAAGTGGTTAAAGCACAGCTTTGCAGCCTGCCTCAGAAGCAGGAAGTCTTTACTTATCAGCAACCCCAGGGGCAATTTTACCCAGAAGCTGATGAAATTTAAAATCTCAGGGCTCCTGCTTACACAGTCTCTTTCCAAGGCCCTGTACCTAATTTTGTGTTCATGATGTTGTCTTCTTTTACTTAAAGAGGGATCTCAAAATTATATAAAGCTTCAAGCTCCTCTCTTGGTCATGCCTCATAAACACACACACACACACACACACACACACACACACACACACACACACACACACGGCCATAGTTAGCAAAGTGACGCATTTTCAACCTGGAAAAATACTGGTCAAGTGAAGCTCCCTGGGTAGTGAGTAGGATCTTGAAAACCTAACCAGCTGGGCCATGGGCGAGGGTGATAATCTCTACTCCACTGGCCCAGCAGATGCACAGTACCAGGTTGCTGCACAGAAGGCCACAGGTCTCAACCCTGACTGTCCCTCTCTATTCCGTGAGAGAAGAGCAGAATATCCACCACCACCACCACCTCCCCACTTCCTCCTGTTCCCGCAATCTTCCTCCTCCATCCTCAACAGACAGACAGGGCTTTACTCAGAGCTGCCTGCCAGTGACCTGGGGCAGCCGTTGTCTTGTCCCCCACCAAAGGGGCCTTGTGCGATAGGAGGAGAGGTGGCTGCTAAGGGCTTGGGCAGGAGCCAAGGGAGCTAAGGGCGCTCCCTGGAGTCTGGGGCCACTACTGACTTGGCAACCACAAGCTGCCTATTGGCCTTTGCCCCAAGCCCTGGGGCCGCAAATGGGGAGGGTGGAGTGTGGCCATAAAACAGCTAGTCCTGTCCAAGACTGAGAGAATTATTGACTGATTTCTGTGCCCCCTCCCACCTCAATGAAGCCTTCCAGGTCCTGGACAAGCATTGCTGGAGTCCCCAGGAGGTGGAACCGTCATTGGACCTTCCAATTCCTCATTGAGAATGAGTTTACTAGGCACATAGGCCCAGAATGTGTTAGGCACTCAGCATACACATGCATGCATGCATGTGCACACACACACACACACAACATCTGGCATTTGGAACCAGAGCATCCAAAACAGAATTCATCATCTTCCCCCTAAATTGAGCCCCCCTATTCTCCTCCATTGCAAGGAACTGGCACCACCATCCAAGCCAGAAATATCATAATTCTTGACTCCTGTCTTCCTCACTTGCTGCTTCCAATTATTGGTCAAGTTCTGCTAATTCTGGCTTCAGAACAGCCCTCAGATCTCTACAGGTATTACAATAGAGGGTCTCGGACAGAGCTGGAGAAAAATGTAGAACAAAATTCTAACTCACAAAAAAACCAGACTTACTGGTCTGACAGAGACTGGAGAAGCCCTGAGAGTATGGTCCCTGGACACTTTTTTAACTCAGTAATGAGGTCACTCCTGAGGTTCACCCTTCAGCCAAAGATTAGACAGGCTCATAAAACAAATGATAATATATGTAGCTCATCCATGTATATGAAGCTAAACGGGCACATCAGCCCAAGCGTAAGGATGAGAAGGCAGGAAAAGACAAGAAAGCTGGACGAATGGAAATGGGGAACCCAAGGTCGAGAATGGGAGAGTGTTACCATGTCACGGGGTTGGCAACTAATGTCACAAAACAATATGCATATTATTTTTTAATGAGAAACTAATTTGCTCTGTAAATCTTCATCTAAAGCACAATAAAATTAAAAAAAAAAAATCTCTACCCATCTCTCCATCACCACTACCTGTCCCCTACCTAGTCCAGCTCCTATTGCCTTGAAACTGGATCTTGGAATTGCCCTCTCAACATGGGTTTCTGTATCCAAGCCTGCTCCTACCAAAGCAATCTCCAAACTGAGCCACAAGGATCTTCCTTTAAAAATGCATGCAACAGACAAGATGTCATAGACTAACTTTCCCTGCTCCTCCCTCTAAAATACAATTAAGTATTCTGAAATAATTCAACAGACAACCATAAAAGAAATCTGAAAACTGGAAAGAAGGCAGTGGACTGGCTAAGAACCTCAGAACTTGAGAGACAGCCCAGCAGTGAGTTTCTTGGAATTTTTTTTTATCTACTATATATCCCAAACTGGGTGCCAGAGAGGCCTGCAATAGAACTGCCAACAGCATGCACACAGGCACACACACCAAGAACCAAACAAACAAAAAAAGCCTGTTTTCTGGCCAAAAGAGTGGGAAAGGGGAAGCCCAACAGACAGGGAACCTCAGTGGGGATCCCCTACTCCCACATCACACTAGGGCAGTGGTGGACCAATCCTCCCACAGTGGAAGTGGCAGTAGAGCCCTGTGTCTCTGGGCCCTGCACTTAGTGGCAGAGAGCTTAACAGGCCCAGCAACTCCTGGCCTCCCCAGTGACAACAGGTGACCCAGAGAAATACCTTCTCCCCCTGAAGGCAGCACCAGCAAGGATGAACATGAGCCCCACAGTACGACAAACAAAGCAGACCAGGGCTCTGAAAACTAAACGGTCGTTGGAACTCTAGTCCACAAAAGTAGACCAGAATCTACACACTAAACTTTAGCAGGTTAACTGCCTGCTAAAATAGATTGAAATAGGATCAAGCATCTCTTAACATAATATCCAAAATGTTGATACAATAAAAAATCACTCATCAGACCAAAAGCCAGGAAAATCTCATCTTGAGTGAGAAAAAACAATCAACCGACACCAACACCGAGATGAATCAGATGTAGGAATCTGTGACAAGGATTTTTAAGCAGTCATAAAATTGCTTCAGCAAGCAATTACAAATTCTCTTGAAACAAATGAAAAGATAGAAAATTCCAGCAAAGAAATAGAAGTTATCTGTTAAAAAAAAGAAGAGGCAAATGGAAATTATAGAAAAATGCAATAGCCCAAATAAAAAACGTACTGGATGGGCTCAGTAGTAGAGAGATGATAGAGGATACACTCAGTGAACTTGAAGACACATCAATAATATTTACTTAATCTGAACAACAGAGAGAAAATCAACTGAAAAAAAGTTATCTCAGGAGTCTGAGGTAATAACAAAATATCTAACATTCATGTCATCAGAGTCCAGGATGAGAGGAGAAAGAGTGTGGGGCTGAAAAGACATTCAAAGAAATAATGGCTGAAAACGTCCCAAATTTAGTGGAAGACATAAACATACAGATTTGGGAAGCTGAGCAAACACCAAAATGAGATATATCCAAAGAAATCCCTTTCAAAATAGATCATAACTAAACTTCTGAAAACTAAGAAAAAAAAAAAACTAAAAGCAACCAGAGAGAACCAACACATTACCTATCGGGGAACACCGGTTTGAGTAACTGCGGATTTTTCATCTAAAAGCATGGAGGCCAGAAGGAAGTGACCTACATTTTTCAAGTGCTGAAAGAAAAGAACTGTCAACCATGAATTCTATATCTGATGATACTATCCTTCAGGAATGAAGGGGAAATAAAGACATTCTCAGATGAAAGAAAAAAAATGCTTGCAAATCCAACCATGCATTCTCTACTTGTAACAACTCGGTGGCTTCTCTTGGGTTCTCAAATTGTTGTATGGAGGTAGGGCTTATATTTTTAAGACAGATTCCCAGGCCTCACCCTCAGAAACTTCACTTTGTAGCTTTGAGGGGGCTATGAATCAACCTTTTATAAAACATTTTATCACATGGTTGGCAGGCCACGGTGAAAACATTCTCATCTACAGGCTGAAGTCTGTGTTTCTTTTACAGGGTCTTCAACCTGCAGACCTGGCCCCTCCACCTCTCCACCTCCCCAGCATACCTCCAGCTTTTTCCCCAACCTTGCACACCCATACTCAAACCACTCTCAACTTCTCCCAGTACCTCAAATGTGTTGCCTTGGGGCCTTTGCAAATACTCTTTCCTCTTCCCGTAACTTCCTCAAGACTACCCTCCTAAACCTCAATCACTACCCCTGGCTTACATGTCAGACACCAACTTAGATGACCCTTCCTCCAGGAAGTCTTCTCGGATCTCTCAAATGTGGGTGAGGCATCCCCCTTGTGTGATCACACTGTATCAGGATTACCTACTTGTCTGTCTCCACTCCAGGAAGCAAGCTTGGTGAGTGTCTGGCTATCTTGTTACCCTTGTTTTCCCAACACATATCACAGTGCCTGGCACACAGAGTAGGCTCAGACAACGTGGAGTGAGAGAATGAATGAATGAATGACAACTCTTCAAGGTGGGTATGATTTTCCTCATTTACTGACAAGTTAATTCAGACTATCTAGGGGCTAAAGGCATTTTTGCAAAGTGCCCAATAAGTGGCAGAAGCAGGATTCAGACCTGGCCTCTCTCACTCTACATCTTTCCCCCACAATACCACAGAGCCTCCCGAGGCAAGAATCACTCAGTGGAGCCACGGCTTCCCATTTCTTATTCCCGATTCTCTCTACCACTCTTAGGTCCCCAGCCTAGAGGAAAAGTTCAATTAAAACAATGCAATTCTCCTTATGCCCAGGTATAACGCAAAACTCCAGGACTTTGGGGTCAGATAGACCTGAATTCAAAACTCACTCTATCTCACCAGTGAGTAGAAACTGCAAGTGGCCTCCTCACTCTGAGCCTCCATCTTAATACTCAATACTCAAGATTGTTGTAGAGTATGAGATAATGCATATAAAGGGATGATCATATTTTCTAGCCCACAGTAGGTCCTCAACAAATGTTCACCCCTACCATTCCTTCCTCTCCCTGGGGGAGTGTAGGGTGAGGAGACAAGAGACTCGATGGCAACGGGTCTCCTAAAAAAGAGGCAAAGTCTGGCTTCCAGATTCTCTGCTTTCTCTTTTCCCCAGTCTATGGCATTCTCTCTCTGGGTCTTCTTACTCTCTCCCTCTTCACCTCTTCACCTCTCCCCACTCCTGCCCCCCACCCACTCAGGACCTATAGCAGAAAGTCTTTCTGAGCCTTGAGCTGTTGATATAAAGTTCAATGTGTTACCTTCACCTGGAGCATCCACATGGTAACAGAAAATTCAGCTTTAAGCTGAAGATATGAAGTTCTAACTGTGGGATTACAGCCAGAGGGGAGAGACTTTTCCCCGGGGGGGGTGGGGTCAAGGTGGTCACTGAGGCTGCCCCCACCCCTGGTACTTTCCCAGAGCCACCCTCAGCTTACCTAGGCTCCCCCAAGCCTAGGCTTGTTTTATAGTCTTTATGAGGTCACCATGACCCAGAATTCCTCCAGCCAATGAGGCCACTGCACCTGCCTACATGATGGAGAAGAGTAGGAAAGTGTCCTTGCAAAGAAGGACCTATTAAGACCCTCACAACTGCCCTGAAGTGGTCTCATTTCAAATGAAGACCAAGTTCTCTGCCTGGCGTCCAAGGCTTCCCATAAAAGCCTCTCATCAAATGACCTTATGCCTCCATTTATCTTTAGAGATAGCCTGGTTCTGAGCAACATCTCAGGGTTTGGTGTGCAGCACACCTGGGATGGAGTGCTGTGGGTAATGTGTGTGCAAAGAGCTTTGGACTGAGACCAGTCTCTGATCAAAGCCCAGCTCCATTCCTGGGTGAGTCACTGCATCTCTCTGGATAGCTATCTCCTGGACACCCCCCTCAAGCCCTCTTTCCTGAGGGACCTTCAGTTAGTCTCTGCGTGGCACCTAGAGCTGATCACAGGAAGGCAGGCAGTGGACAGGAACTGTCGCTCTCCTCCGGGGCCTCTATTTCTTTTTTTCTTTTTAATTTTATTTATTTTATTGTTGTTGTTGAGAATATACACAGCAAAATGTACACCAATTCAACAGTTTCTACAGGTATAATTCAGTGGCATTGATTACATTCTTCCAGCTGTGCAATCATTCTTACCCTCCTTTTCTGAGTTGTCTGCATTTCTTTTTCAATAGAGATTAAAAAAAAAAAAGTTGCCATCAAGTTGATTCCAACTTATAGCAACCCCATGTGACAGAGTAGAGCTGTTCCATAGGGTTTTCTTGGCTGTAATCTTTATGGAGGCAGATTGCCAGGCCTTTCTTCTTTGGCGCTGCTGGGTGGGTTCAAACTGCCAACCTTTAGGTTAGTAGTTGAGTGTGAACTGTTTGTACCACCCAGGGACATTTCAAAGCAATACCAGTCAGCACTTTCATTCACTCCTCAAATATTCCTTGGGCCCCCACTCCTGCCGGGCCCTATGCTGGGCACTGGGACTCAGAGATAAATTCACTCCCTGGGAAGCATCTGGAATTTAGTAGCATCATTTCATTGAGGATATTTTCCAGCCCAGCCCTCTCCCCTCAACTCCAGACTCACATATCCTGTTAGCTATTTCACATCTCACTTGTATAGCAAAAAGTCCACACAAACTTAAATGTTCCAAATACAGCTTCTGACCTGCCTCCCCCCAAAACCTGCTCCTCTCATTTTCTTCTTTTCAGCAAAAGGCAAATTCATTCTTTAAATTGTTTGAGTCCAGTTTACCAAGGATAGGAGAGAGAGGGAAGGAAAATTACTAACTAGATAGAAGACACGTATTCATACTGGTGAAGGGAAAGGCAATACTCAATATGGAGGAAGTCAGCACAACATGACCAAGGCAAAGGAAGACGCTGAGAGGAAGGCAAGAATAAAGGGCAACTACGGTAAATACTATAACACAGACAATCCTGTAACAACAGTATTAACAAACGATGATCTACGAATGGATACATAGGTAGATAGGTATGCTAAAGAGGCGTTGGGAGGGTATAAGGGAGCAAAACCACCTGCAGATATGTTTGGTTGTAGATATTTCTACATACATAATTGTAGGTGCTTCATGTATATTAATATTGACAATAGAGCCCACAAAGGGCACAGTCCTGGAAACTTCTTAGACATAACCAAACACCTCGCAGGACAAAGTTCCTAGGCTTGAAGTCAAAGAATCATAGACTCAGGGGACATCTACATAAATTGGCACAATATAGTTCATAAAGACAATGTTCTGCATTGTACTTTGGTGAGTAGCATCTGAGGTCTTAAAAGCTTGCTAGTGGCCATCTGAGATATAACTGTTGGTCTCTTCCCATCCAGAGCAAAGGAGAGTGAAGAAAACCAAAGACTCAAGGGAGCAGTTAGTCCAAAGGACTGCACTACCATGAGACCGGAAGAACTAGATGGTTCCTGGCCACCACTACCAACCGCTCTGATTGGGATCACAACAGAGGGTCCCAGACAGAGCAGAAGAAAAACGTAGAACAAAAAATCAAATTCATAAAAAAAACCAGACTTACTGGTCTGACAGAGACTCGAGGGACCTCTGAGACTATGGCCCTAAGACACCCTTCTGACCTGGAAGGGAAGCCATTTCCAGAGATCTCCTGAGAGGAACCTGTTCCTTAGAACAATCAATTATACGAGATCAAAAGGGCAACATTTGCCCAAGAAGGCAGGAAAGGGTAGAAAATCCGGACAAAAGGAAACGGGGAATCCAGGGCAGAAATGGGAAGAGTGTAGACACATTGAGGGTAATGCACCCAATGTCATGGAACACTTTATGTACAAACTATCGAATGGGAAATTAATTTGCTCTGTAAACTTTCACGTAAAACACAATAAAAGATTTTAAAAAAGAAAATGAAGGAAACCCTCAGTGAGATTGATTGACACATAGTCACCACAGTGGAATCAAACAGACCAACGATCATGAAGGTGGCGCAGGACTGGGCAACATTTCTTTCTCACAGACCTCCTCAGCTGTTGCTTGAACCAGCCAAGCAAGCTTCCACCTCGGAGCATCTGCATTTGATGTTCCTCTGCCTGAACTCTTTCCCCAGACACCTGCATGTCTCACTCTCACCCCTTCAGCCTTTGCTCAAGTACCTCCTCTCTGAGCCCTTCCCTGGCCATGCTGTGTAAAACAGCAACATCATCCATCCCCACCTGGCACTTCCTAGTCCCTCCCTGCCTTATTTGCCTAAAGGCTCTCTGAGATATGTTTTAGTTGCTTTGGGAGTTCCTGGGTGGTGCAAAGGGTTAACCCTGGGCTACTAACTGAAAGGTTGTTGGTTGGAACTCACCCAGAGGTGCCTCGGAGGAAGGCCCTGGGAATCTGCTTCTGAAAGGTTACAACCTTGAGAACTCTACGGAGCACAGTTCTACTCTGAAATATATGGGGTCGCCATGAGTCGGAACTGACTTGACTGCAACTTGACTTGTGTATTATTGTCTCACGCTATTAGACTGGAAACTTCCTAAGGGCAGGGATTTTATTGGCTACAGTCCCTGCTGCGTCCTCAGCACCTCACACTGTTGGACATACAGTCAGCATACAGCCAATGTTAGTGAACAAATGGAGCACATGTCCTGCCGTAAAGATTCTCACAGTCTGAGTGAGGATGGGGCTCAAACAAATGATCAGATGGCACAACATGGGCTCTGACGGAGGGAAGCTCTAGCTGTGGAAGAGCAAAGGCGGCCCCAGGCCAGGACTGGCAGTGAGAGAAGGCTTCCTGCAGGAGGAATGAGCCAAGTGGCTGGTGCTGCGCTCGGAGGCCACACCAACCCTAAGTCTTCCTCACACTACTCTGCTGCCCAAGTCAGCCCCACACTAGCCCTTCATTGCATGCAGCGGTAGCAACCCAGGGCCCTCGTGGTGCATAGCAGACATTCAGTAAGTGTCAGTCCTTCCTCTCGACTCACCTCACTCCTGTAAAATGCCATCTTGCTGGATTCTGTCTGCCAAAATCTTTTTGGATCCTGGCTCTCCTATCACCTTTATAGTGTAGTAGATGGGGATTTGTCGCTCATTTGCTGTGTGACCTTAGGAACACTGCAGTGGCTCTCTGGGCCTCATCTTCATCAGTAAAATATTGATAATTACTCCGACCTCAGAGGACTGCTGTGAGGTACGTGAAGATGAAGTAGGCAGACATATCTAGAACTGTGCCAGGCACGGGGAAGGTACTTGATAACGGCTGTTTTCCCCTGCCAGCTTGTGTCCTTCTCCAAAGCAAGGTGAGGGTGGAGGGAGGATAGGAGTCCCTGGGTGGCAGTTCCAGTCCACTCAGAGGTGCCTCAGAAGAAAGTCCTGGTGATTTGCTTCTGAAAGGTCACAGCCCCTGAAAACCCTATGGGGCATAATTCTACTCTGACTCACATGGGGTCACCATGAGTCCGAATGGATTCGACGGCAATGGGGGGGCGGGGTATAGGTTTGTATCAGACCCCCACCATGTGTTAGTCAAATACCACATTAGTAATGAGGAAACTGAGACCTATAAAGGGAAAACATTGACCTAAGGTCACTAGCTAGGACACCTGCCTGTGCTTTCAAGTTCTTGATCTTTTCCCTACACTGCCCTGCCTCCTTATCCAAGGTATAGATAACAATGTTGATCGGCACAGGGATGAGGGTCAGGCCAGGAGACCCAGAAACTTGCAACCCAGACTCTGCGGCTGTTTATCTACAGAAATTCTTCTTAACGATGAGCAATAACCAAAGCTAATTAAGATCACCAGTGACTAGAGAGAAAAACTTCATAGGCCTCCCTTTATAAAATGATGGTAGAACTGTCCATTAAGCTGTAGTCCTGCTTACCCAGATCAGTAAATCTCAAGATATTCTTATGTTCCTCATATCGTTAGTTCTGAGATATGTGGCGCAGAAATCAGCCTCATTCCCTGACTCAGTCACCACTGCTCTGGCCTGTCAGCACTTGACAATGGCCTCACTGTTAGCAGCTGACAGGGCTGACCCCAGGCTCTTTTGAACTCCTTCCTATCTATCTCAGATCTCATCTTTTCTACTCCCACCCTCTCTTCCTTCCACCTAGCTTGCCTGCACCTCCCCCTCCCTCCTGCTTCTCCAAGGGCCTGTGTCGTTGACAATTCCTTCTCCACTTGCTTCTTCCCCATGGCCTACACTGTGGCCAAGTTTCCTCTTTCCTAAAACTCCTTCCCTCAAACTTCCTTCTTCTCCCAGCAACTCTCACTCACTCTTTTTTTTTTGGCAATAGCGCTCCATTGCAGCCCTTGGTAACCACTAATAAATGTGTGTGTCTCTATGCATTTGCCTGTTTTAGATATTTCATGGAGTCCCTGGTTGACACAAATGGTTAATATGCTTCGCTGCTAACCAAAGGTTGGCAGTTCGAGTCCACCCAGAGACGCCTCGGAAGAAGGACCTGGTGATCTACTTCCAAAAAATCAGCCACTGAAAACCCTATGGAGCACA